TCCCATGCAGTGACCCCACAAACGCTCTCCTGTCCTGCGACTCCCAGGTTGGATGGAGCCCAGGGCAGCCTGGGCTGGCATTAAAGGTGGAGGATGGTGGCCCCGCATGTGGCAAAGGAGCTTCCTGATCCTTGAGGCCCCTTCCAACCCCGGCCATTCTATGATTCCGTGACTCCCATGCAAAGCCCTACAGCGCAGTGCTGCTCCGTGCAACACCCCCAGGCCCGAGCCATGCTCTGCAATGCCCTCGAGTGACACCTCGCCATGCCTGGCAGCTCCGTGCAACACCACGCAACGCCCCGTGGTCCCGCACATCCGAGCAGCGCCACAACGCACCACCAACGCCATCAAACCCCACATCCTGCAGCCTCGCATCCCCCCTCCCCACTTTCCGGAACGCCTCGCAGCCCAAACCTGTAGACGAGCGAGTCGTCGATGGAGCTGTTGTACTGGATCTGGAACATGCGCAGCCCAGGCACGTGGCGCTGCGGCAGCCAGCGGATGCGCGCCGACGACGCCGTCAGATCCGCTGCCACGATGCGTCGCTCCGCGCCCACCGACAGCGATTCGTTGGCTCCAGCCCGCGCCATATCCGAGGGGCCGGGACCGGCCTGAGCTTCCCCGTCCCCATCCCCGTGCCGGTGAGGCACCGGCAACGGCAGCACCGCCACCTGCACGCGCGCAGCGGCCTCCCCGGCAGCGTTGGATGCCACGCAGGTGAAGGCGCCGTGGTCGCGCAGCGTGGCCACGCGCAGCTGCAAGGAGCCGTCGGCACCCAAGGCTCGCCGCGAGCCGTTCTGCACCAAACGCCCGTCGGGGCCCAACCAGTGCAGGGCGGGCGGGGGATCCCCGTTGGCCGCACAGCCCAGACGCAGCGGTTGCCCTTCCAGCACCGCGCTGGGACTGGCGGCCGCTCCGGCGATGTGGGGAGCGCGGCACGCCAGCTCTTCCTCGGGCACAGCCCAGAGCAGGCGGCCGGCGAGCGACGGCGGCGAGGCGCAGCTCTCCAACCCGTCGGGCCGTGCCAGGCGCCGCAGCCACAGCAGCTCACAGTTGCAGTGTAACGGGTTGCCTCCCGCTGCCAGGCTGGGCCCCGGCGGGCCCGGTACCGGGGGCAGCGCCCGCAGGCGGTTGGCGGTCAGGTCTAGACGGGCCAAGCGCGGCAGGCGGCTGAGCGCCGTGGCGGGGACGCGCTCCAGCAGGTTGTGGTCCAGAGTCAGCGTGGCCAGGCTGGCCATGGCCGCCACCGCCTCCCAGGGCAGAGCCGGCAGGTTGTTGTGAGACAGATCCAAATCCTCCACGGTGGCGGCGAAGGCGGCGAAGGCGGCGGGCTCGATGGCGGCCAGCTGGTTGTTGGCCAGGATGAGGTGCCGCAGGCTGGCCAAGCCGCGCAGCTGCGGGCCGCTGAGCGCCGGCAGCCGGTTGCCGTCCAGGTGCAGCGCCCGCAGCGCCCGCAGGTCAGCAAAAGCACCGGGCGCCAAACGGCGCAGCCCGTTGCGCGACAGCGTCAGGTGAACCAGGCTGCTCATGTTGGCGAAGTCGGCGCGGCCCACGGAGCCGATGAAGTTGTCGGCCAGGCGCAGCTCCACGGCTCCGCGGTCCAGGCTGGGAGGCACCGCCAGCAGCCCCGTGCGGGCGCACAGCAGAGTGGGGCTGGGGGCGGCCGCGGGGCAGAGGCAGCGCGGGGGGCAACGCTGAGCCACCGCCCCCAGCACCACCAGCGGCACCAGCAGCTTCGCCATCCTGCGCCGGCCTGGGGGTGAGCCCGCGTCAGACCATCCCACGCTATCCCGGCTGCGAGCCCCTAATCCCACGTATGATCCCACACCCGGCCCTACGTGTGCGTGTGATCCACATGCAACGCGGCGTGTGATCCCATCACCCCGGGTAAACCTTTCCCGTGTGATCCCGCGATGTTAATCCTGCGTGATCCCAGGCGTCACCCCACGCGTGTGATTCCACGGTCCCGTAATCCCACGTGAAACAATCCCATGTGTGATCCCACACACGATCCCCTGTGCTCCTGCCCCCACTCCCACGTGGCCCTGTGTGTGATCCCGAGCGATCCCACGCGCGATCCCGCGTGACCCCGTAACCCTTTGCACGACCCCCTCTGATCCTGTATGGGATCCTGTGTGTGGCTCCCATCGCAATCCCACCAGCTACCCCATTAAGCTCAGTACCTCCTCTCACAGCTCCATCTTGATCCCGACCAGGTGCTGCCACAGGGCCTGTGGGAGAGGGGATGAACCAGTATGGACCAGTACACACCAGTACGTCCCACTACGCCTCTGTACAGCCCTGTATGACCCAGGAAGGCCTGGAACAGCACAAAAAAGCCCAGTACAGCCCAGTATATTCCTAACACGACCCAGTATGGTCAGTGTGGGCACAGCCCAGTGTAGACCAGTACAAGTCATAGCAGTGCAACGTAGTGCAGGATGGCCCAGTATGGCCCAGTATGCCTCAGTATAGCCCACTCTGGCCCAGCGCAAACCAAAATGGTCCCAGTATGGGCCAGTATCGCCCACAACGATCCGATGCAGCCCAGTATGGCCCAAAGTAGCCCAGTATAAACCGACAGAGCCCAACCTAAGCCCAGCACAGCCCTGTCCAGCCCAATTGAGCCCTACGTAAACCAGCGTGACCCAGTGTAAGTCTTACACGGCCCAGTACAAGACAGCACCGCTCAGTGAGACCAGTGCCACCAGTAAGACTGAGCGCAGCCCAGTATGGCCCTACCCCAGAGCAAGGCCCAGCACAACTCAGCACTGACCAGCATCGCCCAGCATAATGCAGTGGGACCCAGCACAACTCCAAAGAGCCCAGTACTGTCCAGTATGGCCCAGTTGTAGACCAGTACAGCCCAGGAAGGCACAACGCGGTCCAGCAGAACTCAGCACAGCCCAGTAAAGAAAGCCCAATATTATGCCAGTGTAACTCAACAAGGTCCATCTCAGCACAACCCAGTACTGCCCAGTAAGACCCAGTGGGGATGAGAACACTGCAGTGAGGCTCAGCACAGCCCAGTACCTCCCAGTGCCACCCAGTACAGAGCAGTGCTGCTCAGCAGGGTCCAGCACAGCACAGCAGGTCCCAGTACCTCCCAGTATAGAGTAGCACAACCCAGTACTGCCTAGCAGAGGTTCCAGTGCTGCCCAGTATAACCCAGCTCAACCCATTACCTCCCAATATAGCCCTGTATGGCTCCCTGCTGCCCAGTACAGCCCAGCAGGGGCCAACAGGTCCCAGTATAGCCCAGTATAGAGCAGCACATCCCAGTACTGCCCAGTACAGCCCAGCAGGGGCCAACAGGTCCCAGTATAGCCCAGTATAGAGCAGCACATCCCAGTACCGCCCAGTACAGCCCAGCAGGGGCCAACAGCTCCCAGTATAGCCCAGTATAGAGCAGCACATCCCAGTACCGCCCAGTACAGCCCAGCAGGGGCCAACAGGTCCCAGTATAGCCCAGTATAGAGCAGCACATCCCAGTACTGCCCAGTAAGGCCCAAGACAGCCCAGTATAAAGCATCACAGCCCATCGTTGCCCACTAGGCTCTGGTACCACCCAGTATCACCCAGCGCTGCCCAGTATAGTCCAGCACATCACAATACAGTCCAGCACCACCCAATAAGGCCCAACACGGCCCAGATCCACCCAAAGCAGCCCAGTACGGCCCAGTACGGCCCGGTACCACCCAGCCCGGCCCATCCATCCCCCCGCTCCCCCCATCCATCCCCGCATCCCGAGGTTCCCTCCCCTCCCCGAGGTACCTGGGTGAGGGCTCAGCCCACGGCCACTCCCATCGCGGCTCCGGGCGTTCGGGGCCCGTTCAGGCCTCGCCCCGGCGACGACCCATAGACGGGGGCGGCCCCGGTCCGGCGGGGCGGGGAGTGACGGCTGGTGGCTGTGCGGGCGGAGCGGGATGGGCCCGCCGTGCCCGGAGCCGGCCCAGGGCCGCCGCTCGGAGCCGCAGCGCCGCCGGGGCGGGGCGGGGCGGGGCGGAGCGGAGTGGGGCGGGGCGGGGCGGGGCCGCTTTCCCGCACCGGGGGTCCCACACGGTGCGTGGGGCCGCGTGGACGGCAGCACCGCGCGACGGCTCCGCGGCGGCCGAGGCTCCGCCTCCCGCAAGACCACGCCCCCTGCAAGCCACGCCCCCTTTCCCTTTATAGACCACGCCCCTCCGTCGGGCCACGCCCTCGCAGCGCTCGGCGTGCCCGCGGTGGGGGCGGAGCCTGCGCAAGGGGGCGTGGCCATATTTACTGCCCTCTCCCCTCCGCCTGGCTCCATCCCATTGGCAGCACCGCCGTCCAATGAGAAATCGGAGCGGGGCGAAGGGGGCGGGCATACCTCTGCCGGATGTCGCCTCCCCGCCCCACTGCGTTTCATTGGCCGCAGCCGCGAGGGCAGCGGAAGAGGCGGGGCGAGGCGGGAGGCGCATGCGCGGTGGCGCGGTGACGCACCGTGCGTGCCGTGCGCGTTGACGTTGCGCGGCGGCGACGGCGCCTGTGAGTGCAGCTGCGGTGGCGGCGGTGAGTGCGGAGCCGGGCCTGGGCTTCGGCTTTTCCGCCCCTTCGGATCCTCGGGCCGGGCTCCGGCCTCTCCTCGCGGCCTACACTTCCGTACCTCTCCGGTTGCGGCCTTCCCGGATCGGGCCTCGCGTGACCGCTCCCCGGTGCTGCCTCCGCCCTCGGGCGGGCCCCGCTGCCCCGGAGCTGCTCCGGTTCCTGCGTAGCTCCGCGCCCATCTCCCCAAAGCGTGCGACCCTCGGCGGTGCCGGGCTTTGAGGTGCTCGCGTTCCTTTTCCCGTTGCCATTCTCAGCCCCTTTTCTCCTTAGGGATCTCCGAGGTTCTCTCTGCGCACCGACGAGGCCCGACCGCAGCCCTCGGGGCCTCCAGCCCACCCCATGCCCACGCCGGCCCCGGGGGCCACCGAGAGCGACTTCAGGCCCCTTCGCGGCCCCCGCGCTGCCGCCATGTGAGGGGGGGGGCACGGCCGGGCCCGTGTTTTCCCCCCCCTTCCCCCTCCCCCGCCGTTGCCCCCCCTACTCGCCATGATGTTCCGGGACCAGGTGGGGATCGTGGCCGGGTGGTTCAAAGGTTGGAACGAATGTGAGCAAACCGTGGCGTTGCTTTCGCTGCTGAAGCGCGTCACCCGCACCCAGGCACGCTTCCTGCAGCTCTGCCTCGAGCACTCTTTGGCCGACTGTGCTGACATCCACCTCCTCGAGGCTGAGGCCAATAGTGCCGGTGAGTGGGAGCTTCCTGCCCCAGCTCTGGGCGCCCCTTTTTGGCCCACGCATGTCTCGGTGAAAGGCTCGAGATGCCGTTGCTGTGGGTCTGGGTGGCCAAACGGGCTCTCGGTGCAGTCAGTGGGTGGTGAACTCGCATTCTGCGTGGTGTGAGCTGAGGGGTCCCTCTCTTTCTCCGGGATTCCGCACCTCTTGCTGCTCCCTGGGGGGTGGTTGAGATGCTGTTGTTATCCTTGGAAGGTTTTTGCCCCCCCTGCTGCTCTCGGACTGGGGAATATCCCCCTCTTGCTCCCCCTAACCTATTGCTCCTTCGCCTTCCCCAGCTGCCATCAGTCAGTGGCCACAGGAGCCAGCAGAGGCAGCAGTGGCCCTGCTGCTGGCCCACCTACCCCTGTTGCAACCGGGCAATGCTGCTGCCAAGGCTGAGTACATGAAGCGGCTGCAGAAAGTGCTGGCCTACGCCATCGAGAGCAACCGATGCGTGGAGGAGAGCCGACAGCTCCTTTCCTATGCCCTCATCCACCCTGCCACCACCCTGGATGACCGCAGTGCGCTGGCCCTGTGGCTGGGCCACCTGGAGGAACGTTTGGCCGGAACCCCGCAGCCACCACGTCCTCCTCCTCGCCCTGATGCTGCCCCCCCCCCACCCCGCCGTGCCCCCCACGACTGGCCTGAGCACGGACCCCCTGAGATTGGGCCCCCCTGGCCTGAAGCAGCTCCCCGGGAAAACGGCCACCCCCCTTTTCACCCCCCCAGCAGTGGCAATGGCTTGGGGGGCACAGGTGAGTGGGGCTGGCGGGGGGGGGGGTGGGGGGCATGGGGAACTGGAAGGGGTTATGAAGGGACAAAGTGGGGTGGCTGGAGGGGGTAAAAGGGTTAAGGGGGCCTGAGTGTTTAAGATGGGGATGGGGGGGAGAGGGGGGAAACTGGGATAGTGGGAATATAAATACGAGGAGGTGATGGAAATAAGCCTGGAAGCTAAAGAGGGCAACGGGGACCAGAAGAGGGACTAAAGGAAATATGGGGGTGGAACAACTGGAGGGGGTGGGAGGAGTGGGGTGGGACCTGGACCCAACAGCCGCCTCTCCGCAGCGCTGCCCTGCCAGCTGCACCCCAGCCCACTGAAGCGCTCCCTGTCGCTGGTGCCTGGCAGCCCCCAGGGGGGCAGCGGTGAATGGCCAGGGGGGGGCGAGGAGCCAGGGCCCCCTCGCACCCCCTTCGGCGACCACGCGCCCCTCTCACCCCAGAGCAGCGTGGCCTCCTCGGGCAGTGAGCAGACCGAGGAGCCCACCGGTGGCCGCAACACCTTTCAGGAGGATGGCAGCGGCATGAAAGGTTGAAGGGGGGTGTTCCTGGGGGGGTTGGGAGGGGAGGGATGGGGAGGAAAATGCGGAGATGGGGGTGTTGTTGCCACCTCCCCGCTCCAAATCCTGCTGCCCCCTTCAGACGTCCCCTCCTGGCTGAAGAGTCTGAGGCTCCATAAGTACGCAGCCCTCTTCTCCCAGATGACGTACGAGGAGATGATGACGCTGACAGAACACCACCTGGAGTCGCAGGTGAGCCACGCTGCCCTGCATTCTCTCCCCCCTTTCCTCAACCTTCATCCCCCCCAGGCTTAGGACGTGCCTCACGTTCCCTGCTGGTCTCTCCTTGTTCCCTGCTGGTCCCCCCTTGTCACCGCAGAACGTCACCAAGGGTGCGCGGCACAAGATTGCCCTCAGCATCCAGAAGCTGCGGGAGCGGCAGAGCGTTCTCAAAGCACTGGAGAAGGTGAGCGGGGTGGCCTTGTGCCCCCCAATGGTGCCTTCTGTTTGCTCTGGGTTTTTTTCACCCTCTGTGTCCCCCCTCGTGGCACTGGGTGTAACTGATCTCGCCCACATCCACGTAGCTGGAAGGGAGGGGGGTTGTCCCTGATGATCTCAGATGCTTTTTGCCCCTTGGGTGTCTCCGGGGCTGTTTGGCTGCCCCGTGCCCCTTCCTGTGACAATTGTTTGCCTCCGTGTCCCCTCAGGACATCTTAGAAGGTGGGAACCTGTGGACGGCATTGCAGGAGCTGCAGCAGATCATGGTGACGCCCATCAAGGCCTTCAGGCCCCCACCTGCCCCCCCTGCTAATGGAGCACATGACGGGGCTCCCCCAGGGGCTGCCGATGCCTTTGCCCCCCACCCAGCTGCCGACACTGAGGCCCCCGCAGCCCCCGTCCCTGATGGAGACATCCCAGGGCAGTTCACTCGTGTCATGGGCAAAGGTGAGGGCCCCACTTCTGTGAGGTGGGCTGCTGTGGGGGGGGGGGGGGGGGAGCACCGTGCCCTGGACCCTTGTCAAGTCCCCCCCCTCTGCCCCCCAGTCTGCACCCAGCTGCTGGTGTCACGGCCGGATGAGGAGAACATCACGAGTTACCTCCAGCTCCTTGAGAAGTGCCTGAGCCACGAGGTAGGATTGAGCTGGGGGGTCTTGGGGGGGGCACAGGACCTCGCTTTGCATCCCAGCTGCCTCATGGGCCCCCCCTGCACCCACAGGCGTTCACGGAGACGCAGAAGAAGAGGCTCTTGTCTTGGAAGCAGCAGGTCCTGAAGCTGCTCCGCGCCTTCCCCAAGAAGGTGCCACTTGATGGCCAGGGCTACCGGCCTCCCAAAGGGTAGGAGGGCTTGTGGGGGGGGCCTCAATTCTACGCAGACCTCACCCCAACACCCGCTTTGTTCCCCTTGGTGCCTTATTCACCCACCCTGGGATCTCCAGCTCCTGAATTTTCCCTTACTTGTGTCCCCCTGTGAGCCTGGGACCCCCCCACCTCGAGGTTCCTCTTTGTCCCCTGTGCTCCCTCTGCCCCTTTCCATCCTGTAGATGCCCCATTTTCCACCTGAAGGGCTTAAAGACCCCCCCCTGGGTGCATTCTGGATTATCCCCTGCCTTTTCTGGGGGAGCAGCGTTGGGGGGGTTTGGGGGTGCAGTCCTGTTCCCTCACTTTGTTTCCCTCCTGCCCACAGCTGGGGCTTTGGCTCCAACTCGCTCCCCATAGCTGGCTCTGTGGGAGGGGCGGGGGGGCGGCGGGGGCAGCGCCCCTTTGCGTTGCCCCCCCGTGCGCTGCCCCCCGCCCGCATGGGGCTGCTGGGCCCTGCTGGGGGGGG